CAAAAGGAATAACTTTACACCAGAGTGAACAGACAGCCCACAGAATGGGAGAGGGCATTCACCAACTGTTCATCTGACAAAGGATTAGCATCTAGAATATAGAAGGAACTCGCAGAACAACAAACCGAATAACTTGACTTTAAACACTTCTTAGAAGAAATTCTAAGGGCCAACAAATACATGAAAACACTCAATAGGGTTAGCTATCGGCATAGACAAATCAAACTATAGTGAGCTATCAGAGCACCATTCAGAGTAGCTAACAGTAAAACAAAACAGAAAAAAATACACTGGTGGGGGGTGAAGGAAAAATACATTTTCACACAGCCATTTTGCCAACCATTTTGGCCTTTTGAATGGCCAAAACCAGGTGACCATTTGATCCAACTAACCCTCTTCTGGGTGTCTATCCGATAATGAAGCCAGCATACCAAAGAAACACCAGCATGCCAGTGTTGTCTGCAGCATCATTCATAATAGCTAAACTTGGAAACAACCTCTGAGCCCATCAGCAGACAAGCAGACAAAGAAAATGTTTACATATACAATGGGATACTGTTCAGCTATAGAAGACACGAAACCCTGCCATCTGCAGCACGGACTTCAACCAGGGAAGAAATATTGCTGCCCCGGCCTGTGAATAAAAAGCCTGGCCCAGACCCTGTCCGGAATGAATCTAAACTCTAGGGGGTTTTGTTTGTTTGTTAATGTGCAAAGTACTTTTGCTTGTATGAGGATTATCAGGTATCCTGGAACTGGAGCTATAGACGATCTCTGTCATGTGGGTGCTGGGAACTGAACCCAGGTCCTCTGGAAGAGCAACCAGTGAGTGCTCTCAACTGCTGAGCCATCTCTCCAGTCCTAAAGTCTAGTATTCTAACAGAAACAGAAAAGGGAAATTTTGTGCTCGTGGCTGCCCACAGCAGTCCAGAGCGAGTCACTTTTCACTTGCTTGGAAAAAATGTTTCTTTTTGTGGGTCACAGGACCCCCGCCGCAGGCTTCTCGCCCAGGAGCAGAAAATACTCCATCAGCACTCCTAAGCAGAATCTCGAGAATGGCAGTCACCCCAGCCAGGTAGGAATGGAAAGCCCCCACTTGGTCTTTTAGCAAGCTTCCTGGGGCTCATTTGTATGTTTTGCATAGTGCATATTTTCACTTCAGGGTAATAAACAGCATATGTAAAGTCTCCGGATTCCATTATTTAGGAGATCTGCCAGGGTGGATTAGGCAGGGATCTGTCTTGGTGTATACCTAACGAGGCAGAAGGAAGTTCTAATGGGACTTCATGGATTCAGATCATAACTGGATTTGGTGGAGGGTGTAATTAAATTTCATTAAGAGCCCCAAAGCTCTGCCCTAGAAAATAATGGAAAGGTCAGAAAACCTACCATTTTTCTCCAAGGGAAATACAGAAAGGCTGCAGAAACTCTAAGGTGTATCTGTGCTATGGGCCAGCCACCCAACATGGTAGGTAGAACTGCGAGTTTCATCTTCAAGGAAGTGAGCTGAAAGCGCCGTGGTTGATAGGAGAATTACGAAACTTCTGATAGTGCAGATACTAGGGAGGGGGTCAGCCGGCCATCAGTCACACCCCAGAGGGACATCTGCAGCATGCCCTGCTGTGTGCCCAGAGTTTCCAGGCTGCACAGTCTCCAGAGGCCATCCCCGGATAATGGTTGTGGAGATGGTGCTGGCTGACTGCCCTGGCCAGAGCACTCTGAGAAGGAAGGGACCCACTGAGGATCCACCAGAGGCAGCTGCCCCTAGCCACACTGGATCCTACTCTGATGTTCCTAACTGAAATAGAAAAAATTTCAGGAAACTGGGGAACCAAGAAACCAATCAGAGACAAGCAACAGGTGAGGCAAGCATAACCTTGTTCTATCAATTCTTCTTTTATGAATTATGCTTTGATGCCATGTCTATGACTTTTTCCTTTTTTACAGCTCTCACGAATTTCCCCACATTCTGTTCTGTTTTGTGTTGATACAAGTGTCTTGCAGCTCAGGTTAGCCTCTGGCTTATTATTATGAGCTAAGGATGACCTTGAACTTCTGACCCTCCTGCTTCCATGCCTCTCCTGAGCTCTGAGGTTCCAGGCACGCACCACCACTTCCAGCTTACGCCGCACTGGGCATGAAGTCAAGAGCTTCAGGTGATCCAGGCAAGCATCTGCCAACTAAGGTGCGTTCCTAGTCATCAGTTTTCTGCTAAAAGTCTTCAATTTTTATCATTTACACTTATTTAGGTCTTCTTTGATGTCTTCTGGGAAAACTTGTGAGTTTGAACATATAAATCTTATACATGCATTGCTAGATTTATGTCAACATATTCATTTTCCTTTGAAAAACTATCAGTGTTACCATGTTTTTAATTTGAGTTTCAAGCTTGTTCACTTTCTTCATGATAAACTGTTTATTGTCAGAAACACATTTTTTTTAATGGTGGTAACTTTCAAATCTTTGTCATAAAATTCCAGCGTCTGATTCTTCCCATTTAGCACCTGATGACTTTCTACTCTCCCTCATCCTTTTCCTGGCTGGTCATATGATGGGCAATGAGTTCCTGTTTCATTCTGAGTTTCCAAAGGTCCCTGCTTGAGTGTGTTCCTCTTTCTGCTTGATTCCCTCAATATTTCCTAACAAAAATCAGACCACTAATTTCCACCCCTGGGCATGGGAGCAAGGAGACAGAATGCCAACCCGTCCCACTCTCCACCAGCTCATTATGCCCGTTATTGACATTTGGGTGAGGACAGGGGCTCAGCTCTCTGTCTCTCACTAAGAAGGAGAAAGTTGGGTATAACTTCACATCATCTCACTCCTCTGAGACCAAGCGATGCTGGGGCTCAGCCCCCCACCTAACTGCTTTAGGGCAGAGAGAGGTGAGAGTTGTGGTTTGAATCTAAAAGGCTTGTTTGCCACTAAATGAACTTTGGAAAGTGGCTGGATCATGAGGACTCGGGACTAATCAATGGATTAGTTCATTGAAGGATTCATAATTTGATAGGTGATGAGAGGTAAAGTTGAACCTAATAGAAGAGAGTGGATTCTTGAAAGTACGTACTTGGGGTCTACATCTTGCTCCTTCCCCTTTGCTCTCTGCTTCCCAGTCACCGTGAGGTGAGCAGCTATGTATGTTTCATTACATGATCCCCACCATGATATCTCATGGTCCAGAAACAGTGAAGCCAAGCGACCATGATACCTCTGACACTGAGTCAACATTTGGGCACTTTGTCATGGTGATGGAAAGTTGAGAGATGATCATGGTATCTGCTACCCTCATTTCTGTAGTTGACATCAGGGCAGACATCCCTTTCATCACCTGATGGGTAGATATAGAGGCTCCATTCATAATAGGCTCCAGCAAAACTACCTGGAGTGAGATCTAGAACATTCTCTGCTTCCATTGGAGGAATAGAGATTGGCTCCCTACACGCCACTGGGTAGATATATGAATGCTACCATTTTATGCTGCCTGCTTCCGAGGGCTATGGGAAACACACCAGCTCCCTGCCTGAATCCACTGCAATTGTTGGTGAGTGGGGTGGAAATAAGGCTAAGGTGTCCTTTCCTTGTGTCTGATTCAAAATGGACATTGTCAAGTGTTTCTACTGTTAGGTCACTGTCTTCCTGGTCCTTTAGCTATGGGAGGAGTCTTCATTTTGGAGTGTATTTTGTCTATGATTCTTAGAATCCTGGGCAAACAATTGCCTTTTCATGTCTCAAGATCCAGGCAGCCAGTATCTTTCTTTCCCTTTCCAGACTTGTTTGCTGTGTATTATCCAGGATGTTGAATTATGAAGAGAGAGGACCCCAGGAGAGGAGGCTATTGCACTGACAGACCACAAGCCCCTATTATTCATCTGTTGTTATTGTTCCTGTTGTTTTGTTGCATATGTATGTATATAAGCATGCATACATACATATGTATGTTTGTGGACATGCAAATGTACATATGTATGTTTGTGGTCATGCAAATGTACATATGTATGTATGTGGGTGTGCAACTGTGCATGTGCAGAGGACTGAAGTGTCAGGTGTCTTTTTTCATTATATCGAGGCCAGGTCTTTTACTTTACCCAGAGCTCTCCATTCTGTCTAGTCTAGCTAGCCTGCTTGTCCCGTGGTGGCCCTATCTCTGCCTCCCGTGTGCTGGCATTACAGGCACACCCTGGGTTCTGGGGCTCTGAACTTGAGTCTCCATGACCATGCAGCAAGCATTTTACTCACTGGCTCAACCTGCCACCACTATTCTCTTTAAAAATACAGCAATTACATCCTGCATGCAATTCTATATCATTTTACTTACCATAAGTTTTAAATTTCTGTTGAAAGCAGAACTGCTTGCAAGTACAATTTTAAAGGTGAGATATAATTCCCCACTAGTGGTCGGAGTATGATTTACATAATCATTTTGCTGTTGATATTCATTACTATCGTAAATTATGTACTAGTAAGAATGTATTGCTTCAGTGGTTTTTGTTTGCTTATTTCTTCCATATTTATGATCAGTAGGGTAGAATTACGCATAGTCCCCTAGCAACAAGCAAACTCTTGTACTTTCACCAACAACGAGTCTTCAACATGCTTTGAGCCATGAGTTAACTTGAAAAGAGAACAGTGACTCAATTTCTCCTAACTCGTATCTCTGTTGACTAGTGAGGTCGACTAACCTGTCCTTTTGTAACTTAGCATCCTGTCTTTCAATTATTTATCTCCAGGGCCCACTTACTCTATTGGAGTAGCATTTCTAGCAGAAAAATCTGACAGTACAAACAGTTTTCTGAAACTACAAAGACATATTTCAACATCAAAGATGACCTCAAAGAGAAATAACCCAATCTCCTGTTCAACTGCCGAACAGGGAAACACCTGCCGATTAAATGGAGACATCAGATAAAGATAAAACGTACCGAACATTTCAGATCCTTTGGATAAGTCTTGGTCTTGAAAACCACGCTGTTTAAAATGAATACATGTGTCCTGAATCTTACCTGAAGCATGACTACGTTGTCACCTTCAAAGGTTACAAACACGTCCGTGTCACATTTCAGGCCTGAGATTTGGTTTTCCATCATGTAACCCTGTTGCAGAAGAGGAGGAGAGAAAGGAAAGAAAGAAGAAAAAAATGTTTTAAATTTGTAAGCCTATCATTATATAAAAAGAATAGTTTATTTGAAATTAAAAGCACAGAACACTGGGAAGAACAAGATAGCCTTGGATCTCTTACTCAGAATAATTTTGATCTATCTCATTAGCTTTGAGTTCATAAATACTATTTTGAGTATTATCTTTATTGATAGTAAAACATCTACAAATGGTCATTCCATATTTAATCAAAAGACTTCAATTAATTACACCAATATTCTTTCTGTTTTCCAAGACATCTGAATTCTACTAGTGACTTACACCAAAGTGTGTGAGAGATTGATGTCTCCCCCCAACCCTAAAATGCCCCTTCTCACAGCTGACCACTAGACTATGAGGGTTGTTGGAAGGCAGGATAAAAATTCCATGCTGACATTCCAAGTCTTAATATTATTAACTATTCTGTATTGCAAATTCACTCTTTAATTAGTTCCCTTCTCTTCAACCTCTTCCTCCTCCCTTCCCCTCCTCTCCCTCTCTCTCCCTCCCCCTCTTCCTCCTTTTCATTTCCTGAAGTCCTATTTCAAAGGTATTAGCCCACAATTATCCAAGAGTTGATTGTCTCCTCACATAAAGAACTGGTCCCTTGGGAAAATGTTGGTCCCAGTCCAGGCAAATGTGAAGAAAGCAAGGCTTGCCTCTGGCCTAAGAGCTCCTCCCCTGCCAATACCTCTTCATCTCCTCAGTTCAGGTTTCTCCTCACAGAAGATCTAGACTCTAGCTCTCTGTCGCTTCTCGCTCAGAGTCCCTGCTCATCAGGTCTAGAGTGGAAATAAAGCCATGTGATGATTGCAGATGTTCTAGGGCGCCCTCAGAGCTGAGGAATTAGATATAACCTAACCACATGTGTGAGATCTGGTCCTTCCTCTCCTCTGGAATCACCAATCTTGTGTACCATCTAATTTCCTCAGACCGGGTAGGAAGGCTTGGCCTTACCGAAGTCTAAATCCTTAGGACAGCTGAGGTAACCTATTTAGAAGCTAGCCAGGATGAGAAAGAGCTAACATAAACTGCGTGTGAACCTAAAGATCCACTAAGCACTGCATTTCCTAAAAGGGATTTTGCAGCCATATGATTGAGTGCCTGATATTCTAAATTTGAGGTCCAAAATTCTTTGGGGACAAATGATTATAAAGGGTTTTGTGGCAGGAGAACAATAACGGGAAGCCTCAAAAGCAGCCAGTTTGTAGACGATGGCTGGAAGCCCTTTTTCCTCAGCTTCCACTAAGGAAAGAATGGAGCATGCACTTGCGCACTGGAAGTCCTGCTAAGTTCAGGGTGGGCTAGGCGCTGCAATGCAAGTTCAGGGCCTTCTCAGCATTTCTCTTACCTGTGTGGCTACCTTAAAAGGCATGACTTTTTCTCTGCTTCCCTTCCTGGCAGCTGCTCAGATTTCCAGCTTGCCTACGCTGTTGGTTTTTATCTCAAATTCTAATAAAATTATCCTTGAAATTCCTTGAGTCGATTTTCAAATTCTTTTATTAGTGAGACTAAAAATTTAGAAAAAGAATCTCAGTTTCCCAGTTGTTCATTCTCTTAGTCTTCAAGTTAGATAGATAGAAATCCATAGTCATATATGTTTATTATATTTATATTTAGGCCAATCAGGTTATTTAGGTGCATAGAGATCATACTTAGTATAGATAGTATAATCTTCAACCTCTTCGAAGAGCTGTGGAAAATGGCCTTTAATCTAACTCATAGTTCTATAGTAGTGAGACACAATCACTCCTGGCATCACCGCTCTACTCCCAAAAAAACGTTGAGCACCAAAAACACTCCACCTGGAGCTTGTCTTCTTCCTGGCAAAACTGGCCTTTGGGCAAAAAAAAAAAAAAAAAAAAAAAA